GTTAAATTCATTTCGCTTTAGATATGTTTGCTCATCTGCATATGTATATACATGGGTTTAATTCATTTCTCTTGGCAACCTGTTTTTTTAATATTGACTTAGTCGCATCGTAGAACCCGTCGCAAGATCTCCATCACAATTTAGATTTCGCTGTAACTGCTTGACGATTTCTCCATCTCTATCATCTCTAGCTTCTTATCTGACGTCGTACGGTTGAGATTGGTTGCTACTTGAGCTTGCAATTCTCACGGAGATGTTGAGAGAGCTCTGGAACCCAATTTTCTTAGTGAAGGAATATTTCTCATTGTAACCATGGCGTTCAAAGGTTGACGAAAACTCTGATGTCAAGAGTTTTTGGTATCTTGGCTTCTCATCGATTGACGTAATCTTTAAGAAGATCAATGATAGGAGCTGCCAAAGAAACTCGGTCAAGTTGCTGAAACATGATTCCATCCATACTAGCTTGTACACCCTCGCTGACTGTTAATTCATCGAGTAGTCTCGTTCAGTGTTATGTCTACTCCAATCACCGAGCTTCCTATACCGTTTAAGTCGAGGTTTTTCATCTCGAGTTCCTCGTGAAATTAACACTAACGAAGAAACCAAAGCATCGAGTTCAAGAGTGCTTTCAAAGGGTTTTGCTTTCTTTCGTAGTTGGTCTTTTTATATGTCAACACACGTAATATGGAAAGTTTAGAAAATCTGTTAAATCTGTTTTATGAATTTGACAATATTTTTTGTGAGAAGCATTCTGGAAGCGACACGTCAGCATTGTCTAAAATTGCAATGTGAACGCATTTAATGCAAAATGGTTCTCTTTTAATATATAAGGGATGTAAAAATTTAACAAGTTTTTTTTAAAAAAGTCCTATAAATAATAATATAAATATATGTTTTGAAAAAAATATATTAATATTTGTATGGGCCAAAAATTCTTACATAGCCTAAAAAGTTATTGTTATTTGGGCGGCCCATAAAGGCCCATCCAGAGGTTTCTGATAAATGCAGTCCTCTTCCTCTCTCCCTTATCCTTTCACTTGATTGCAGAGAATCACAGTGCTGTAATGGCGATTCCAATGGCAACGGCCACACCAACAGACTCCGCGAGTAGAGTTTGGAGCATGTCTTCTCTCAGATCAGCTCTTCCCTCCGCCACAACTTGCCGGATGCCTTCCTCTACTTCTCGCCGTCCGGTCACTATTCGCCTCCCCGTCTCGTCTCCGTCACCGCTCCTTCTCCCATCTTTCTCTGGCCTATCTCCAGTCAATCCTCTCATCTCAACCGGACTTCCAGGTAAGGGGCATTTCCGTATGGGCTTGGTAGGTCGGTTACTTGGTATTGGATAATTCGGGTAGAAGAGTAGGATCCACTTTAAGAACCGAGAAAATATTGGTTCTGATTCGGAAAATTAAAATTTGGTTCGTATCGGTTTGGATGATAAAACTAAAAGCCGGTTAATCCTTTGGGAAGACCGGTTTGGTTCATGTTCTGTAATTCGGAAATAGAAATATAGAAATTGTTTGGTATTCATGTTCTATTTCCGGTTTTTTTCGGTTTGGTTCTTGGAGTCTCGGATAAAATGTCCAAGCTTACTCTAACTACAGTCAACTTTGGTTGAATCTCCAAAATCTTAAGGTGTTTTGTAAACGCAGATTGGAAAAGCTTCGAGAATGGATTCAAGATCATTGACGGTGGTGGTCGTGTATACGCAATGAGACACGGGAGAAGAGTCCCGAAGCTGAACAGACCACCGGACCAGCGGAAAGCTCTGCTCCGTGGACTCACGACGCAGCTCTTGAAGCATGGGAGAATCAAGACGACTCGAGCTAGAGCTAGTGCGATGAGGAAGTTTGTTGATAAGATGATTACTCTTGCTAAAGATGGTTCTCTGCATAAGCGAAGGCAAGCTCTTGGGTACATCTACGAGAAGCAGATTGTTCACGCATTGTTTGCTGAGGTTCCGGATAGGTACGGGGAGAGGAATGGAGGGTACACGAGGATCATTAGGACTCTTCCGAGGAGAGGTGATAATGCTCCTATGGCGTATATTGAGCTTGTTTAAGTGGCTGTTGTCGTTTTCATTGCATAATTGCTTGACTTGCTAAACTTTTGGTTTGTAATTGATGCTTTGGTAAATGTGTTTTTTCTGCCTCATTGTCTGGTGAAGAGATCGGAATGAGGATATGGTTTCTTGAGTTTTGTGGTTAAGAATTGATTCGAGATGCTCTAGAACTCTTACTTATGTTAGGTTTTGGGTTTGTTCTTTACTTCTTTGTTATTTTAGTTTAGGAGTTAGAAACAAGGGTAGATACTAGGAATTCAAAGAGACGACAATGGAGAATAGATTCTACGACAATTCACAGCTTATTAGTGCTCATTTATCTTTCTTGATTCTGCACTTTCATGGAAGAAAAGTGAGGGTGATCTTACAACACAATCTTTCTTCAATTCGCAGTAAACTTATCAAGGGAGTATGATGAAAGTAACCGAGGAAGATCTACATATTACCCACTTGCTTCTCCTATAATGTCTTTCTTGTCTCACGTTTGAAACTCACACGGTTGCAATTCTCCTCAAAGAAGCTGGAGACTAAGTCTGAACATTAAGCTGCACATCAAATGTATTAAGGATATACTTTGAGGAAACGGCTTGTGCGGTTGCGGATAGGATATGAATTATCGGTGTTTTGGGGATTGGAAACCGTCAATGCCAAGATCAAGGCAATGATAAAATTGAGGATGAAAAGAACGGTGATGATACAAGAAAACAGGCAACAAAAGGCACCGTTAGGGTTCACGCTTAATCTTGGTCATGACACATGGCAGTATTTTTTTTATCTATCAAGTAGAGAAGAAATGCAGTTTGAACTGCCCATATATAACAGTAATCAGAATATGATTTGCTTTCCTTTCTTTAATTTGTTTTTTTTTTCACATGAAAAAGTCAACGTACTGCTTTGTGCGGTATTAATATGAGATCTGATTATCTGAACAGACTTGAAAATGGAAACAAAGGCAATGCCTTATGATTTTATTTATTCTATAGCAAATAATACATACACAAGAGATCAAAGACTTCAAGAACAAGAAGACAAAGTATAGATATAAAGAATAAGGAGACTACAGCTTAGTTGAATACTTACATTGTTGACTCGTAACATTACGACTCGAAACAGAGATTGTAACATCGCAGGAAACAGATGACTTGACACTAATCTTAAAGATATTGAAAACATGTACTTTCCCGGCGACTTTAACGAAAGTGTTGACCGGGATGGACCCAGACATGACGTCACTGAAAACCTCGGACTCTGAGAGTAGTCTATCCGCCATTAGAGTAAGCTTTACGTTCATACTCAACGTTTTCTGCGCGCCGACTCTGTTCGCGGGGAGCGGCGCTTCTCCGACCAACTGGCCTTTGTAGCTAAGCAAAGCCGACGTGGAACCGAAGCTGAACCCGACCCGGTTTGGGTTTTTCAAGGTGAGATGGGCTTGGAGTGTTAGGTTTAGGTTGGCCTTGAGGTTCAAGGCGTCGACGGAAGTTCGAAGCTGGTCGACGAGGACGGAGTCCACGGTGGCGGTTGGGTTTTTGGGTTTGAAGAGAGTGAGGCCTAAGATTAGTAGAACAATAAATATGAGGAGGATGATGATGAGAGTGACGCAGATACAGATTTTAAGGTTGCGTTTCTTTCTTTTACTACCGCCGCCGACGCCGTTTGCAAATTGCGTTTCCATGTCAGCGTTTGACTTGGGTACTTCTGCTGCTAACATGGGTGCTCCTGGCTTCTCCTTTGCATCATCCGAGTTCATTGTGAAGCCTCTCTCTCTATATATGCCTTTGTAGTTCTCTGAGCTGTTTTCTGTGTTTTTATTTTTTGTTTATTTGTTCTTCCAAAAGACAGACTACCTGTTACATGTATTTATACCATTTTTTTACTTAAGAATAAAGTTTTTGTTTTGTTTTATGGATTTATAATATATCTACATTTGCCACGGCCTTTACACTTTAATCATTTTGTTTTACTTACGGCATTAAATAAATGTAAATGGTCTGAAGTTTTGAATACACTTTCTAGAAATGTATGTGGTCAATGCCAGAATACAGTGTTGGGTATACGTTGAACAGCGTTGAAATGAATTTTGATTAATTAAATTAAAACTAACTTCGTGATAAAACGTGTATCATTTTAATTATTAGTAGTATTAATATTTTTGTTTTTCAACGAGTGCATTGATTGAATTCTCACAACTAGAATTGCAGGAAGAATGGAGATAATAAAATAATAAAGAAGATAGAAATCATAGTGAATCACATGGCTTGGTATGAGGGTTCTGTCGCTATTTGCTCATTTCGTGTGCTGGTTTACACTATGCTCAATGAATAAATCAACCGTCTTTGTCTGGGCCCAATCCTTCATTTTACAGGGGACGACATTACAGTTAAGATTCTTCAACTACAAGATAGAACAACTGGGTTTCTAGGCCTTAAGAGAGTCGTCGGGTCATTTCACTTTTCCATTTTGAAACAGAGTGGGGATGAAAACATCATCAATATTGTACCACTTTGTTACTAAACCCCCCCAAGATTTAGAACAAATGGTTTAAACTCAGAAGATTCAACAACATTTGCGATCCCTTCCAAAACATCAAACTAATTTTTAAAACCAAGAATTAAGAAAGAACAACAAATTAACAAATATCCTAATTAGAGCATTTCTGAAAGAAACTTATAATTTTAAATATAGAATTTTTTGCTCTCTAAAATACTCAAAACTCTAAATTTAAAGTTTCATCTTTTTAATTGTATTTTGGTCCTTACAATTACAAATAAAATTTATAATTCATAAATAGTTTTTTATCAATGTAATTATTAAATTTTTATATCTCATGAATATTTGAAATTAACTTTCACATTTTTTATAAATTTCAGTTTTAGACATTAAACTAAATAAAAATTTTAAATTAAATTTATAAAATATATGCTTGTAGTTTAGTATTTTAAATTATTTTGAAACTAAAATTAGACAACAAGAATGTGGTAGTCTGATTATAGTTAATATTTAATTATGTATTTGTATTTATAAATTTATATTATAGTGTAATATTTTATTAATTAATATTAATATATAATATATTTTTTTTTAACTGGCTTTCATATTAAAATTAAAGAAAGAAAACACGGAGTTTACAGAGGAAAAACAAAGAAAAGACAGACTAAAATTAAAACAACAGCAAGGGTATTAAAAGAAGATAAAGGAGGAAAGTCACAATGATTTTGAAGCCACGTAAGTAGGTGTAAAAGTTGTGCAGCAGCAGAGAAGCTACACCTTTAAACCGTAGACCAGAGAACCACCAAACTCGAACCAAGGTCAGAGCCAGAGCTACTCATAGCCGTAGACCTTTCCTTAGCTTGTTTGATGACATCTTGAGATAACAACCAGTGAGGTTTTGTAAGACCGTTATGGAAATGATCATTTCGCTCTTGCCAGATAGCATATATAACCCCATTCAATAGTTGAAGCAAAGCTTCGAATCTAGGATGCGTAATGGAGACGGAAGATAACCATTGCAGCACAGAATCTCATTGAACAGGAGGGGAGGCGAAGCCAAGAACCCCGACAGTAGCACTCCAGACAAGAGCAGGGTATGGGCAGAGAAAAAAAAAGATGGCCCCTTGATTCAGGAGCACTTCCACAAAGAAGACAGCAGTTGTCAATATCATAACCCCACGATAACAAGCGATCCATGGTCGGGTTGCGGTTCAGAAAAAACAACCAAGAATTAATCATAAGCTTAGGGATTATAGCTTGATTCCAAATAAATTTTGCCCAAAAAACCTGTGGTTTTACCGTCGTAGTCTCTTGCCATACTGCATTGGTAGAAAATTTAGAACAAAATCGATTTCCGAATTTCCATAAAGCAACATCAGATCCAGATGAAGGAGACAACGTAATGAGGTAAACCTGGAGATTTACTTGCCTCTCAGACCTTCCAGGACGCAATAACCAAGATGAATTGTGAGTGATGGTGGAGACCAGGGAATCAAGCAGAATACCCAAATCTGACCAGAAGGGCCTAAATAATCCTTAAAGACCCCAAAAGGCGTCCAAGGATCAAACCAGAAGAAATTTTCTTCTCCTCATCGCACCATGATGTGAAGGAAAGACAAAGCAATAGGCCGGAGCTTTAAAAGTCTTCGAAACGTCTAAGAGATAGAGTAGTTGCGTGAATTGAGAGACCAGAAAGAGCCTGACGTTAGGTATTTGTTTTTAACCCAAGCAACCCATATAAATCCAGCTCAGAAATAAAGCATCCAGATCAACTTAATGCCAAAAACTATGTTCCAAGATGCAAGCCCCCTGATACCAAGACCACCTTCATTTTTTGGAGAGCACAAAGAATCCCAAGCGACATTAGCAGATGTATTTTCAAGGTTTCCATGCCATAGAAAGGATGAGAGCAGGCTCTGAATCATTTTAAGGACCTTCTTCGGAATACAAAAGGCAGAGGTCCAAAATCCAAGAATACCTGGAATGGTAAAAGAAATAAGCAGGAGTCTTCCAGCCATACTTAGATGGCGGTTCATCCATCCATTAAGTTTCCTCCTAACTTGCGAGAGCAGCGGATCACAGTCACGAACTGATAGCTTTTTAGAGCAAAGAGGCAAACCCAGGTATCGCACAAGGAGTTGAAGCGATTGCAACCTAAACTTATTCAGAATATTTTGCTGTGTCTGAGGCGAGAGACCCGCAGAGAACATTGAAGTTTTCGACATATTAACTTCAAGTCCTGAGAAATTTTCAAATTGGGACAAAACCGTGAAGATCCCAGCTAAAGAGGTTTCTGTGCCATCTAGAAAAATTAATAGATCGTCTGCAAAGGCTAGATGAGTAAGCTTTGTTTCCACACAGCCCGGATGATAGCCAAATATTCCATCTTCTGCTTCCTGTTCAACATATATGATAAAACATTCATAACCACCTAAAACAAGAGAGGAGAGACAGGGTCTCCTTGCCTTAATCTTGTTTTCCCTTAAAAAATCCCAGCAGTCACCCCATTTATGCTCAGTGAGAAGGAAGGAGTAGGGACACAAGCCCGGATGCAGGCCACAAAATCTGATGGGAAATGCATAGCCTTGAGAGTCTCTAGTAGAAAATCCCAGCGAACTGGAATCAAAAGCTTTAGAAATATCAACCTTCAGTGTTATTCTCTCTGAGCGTCCCTTTTTGTGATAACCATTAAGAACTTCAGAGGCTAGCAAAACATTCTCCAACAAAAGTCTATTTTTGATGAAACCCGTTTGATTAGGTAACACAAGATCAGGAAGAAATTCCTTCATCCTATCAGCCAAGATACGGGAGATGGCCTTATACAGGGTATTGAGGCAGGATAGAGGGCGGAAATCTCGGATATTTTCTGTGCCTGGTCTCTTGGGGATCAAGATAAGAGAGGTCGAGTTAAATCCCGACGGCATGAACTTTGAGGAAAAGAAGTCCAAAACCGAAACGCAAACTTCCTTGCCAATAACATTCCATGTTGCTCTGAAGAATTCAGCTGTAAAGCCATCTGGTCCAAGTGTTCGGTTTAGAGGTAGCTTGAACAAAGTGTTTTTAATCAGTTCAGCCGAAACCGGAAGAGATAGCAAAGCTTGATGTGACAGAACACAAACCTCTAAGATGACTCTAGAGAGATAGTTTGGCAGGAAAACACAGAAAGAGCCTCTAAGAGAACAAAGGATACCTGCAAAGTGTGCAGCCGCAATCTGGTGCACTTCTTTGAGAGATTGCGATCTTGAACCATCTCCCCGCAACAGGTATGAAATCCTATTAAGAGCATTCCTCACCAGGGTAATATGATGAAAGAAGTGAGTATTTAGATCACCTGCCTCCAACCATTTTATACGAGACCGTTGTCGAAAAAACATTACTTCAGCAGGACGCAGGAACAACCAAGCTTCCCGAGATTGTTTCTCTAAGGCGGCAATTGACTTGAGAAGGAGAGTTGAGCGCTTGAAGTTGGTGTGAATCAAGAGTCCACTTCGCTTCTTGAACACGTCTTTCAATCTGACTAAAATTGTCCTTACAAAGAGATTTAATAGGAGATTTAAGCTGCTTTAGCTTATAGCACAAAGAAGTAAGGTTCCTAGAGTTGTCCCCCAACTGTATCCAGAAATCCTTTATAGTCGGAGCAAAAGATGGGAGCTTAGTTAAATAGCCTGGAAACATGAATGCACGAGTCCCAAAGTCAGGCCGAGTAGAGGTAAGCCTTATATGACAAGGAGTGTGATCCGAGAACTCTGGAGGTTCAAAGGAGCAAAATCCTTTAGGATAACACAGCTGCCATAAATCATTCAGAAGACACCTATCAATTTTCTTTCCAACTAGATCAGATGGACGATGATTTGACCAGGTAAACTGTGGTCCTTGAGATGACAGATCAAGGAGACCAATATCAGATAAGCAGGAACAAAACTCCCTCATTGGTCTTGTAGAGGTGATAATTGAGGGATTGGAAGTCTCCCGAGGATCCATGATCTCATTAAAATCTCCACAGACCATCCAGGGATGAGTAGATAAATCAAAGGCGATAGCTGTATCCTTCAGCAAGGTCCAGAGCTCTCTGCGATCCTCTAGTTCATTAGAAGCATAAACTGCCGTGAAGTAGAAAAAAAGGATTCTGGTGGTATGATATTGACTGTGATTGATTGAGAATCTGCGAACAAAAACTGCACCTTGATAGGATCTTTATACACAATCCACACCTTACTAAGATCAGAAAGTTGATAATTAGCTATAAGCTTCCACTCTGGTCCCAACACCGATAAAATAGATATACTATTAGCCTCACTAACATGCGTTTCCAAAAGGGCACCAAAGCCAATTCT